CCCCCCCCCCCCCCCCATACATCAGATTTAATTCCACTCAAGCTGCCAAAGCTTTGTTCATCCCCACATGGCAGGCATCCCCACTGATTTGAGGACAAGGGGGTTCCCAATCCCCCAAAGTCATCACTTCGGGGGATCCCTTCATCTGTCGCCCCCCACCCCATCCTCATTTTGGGTCCAAACGGTGCGTTTTGGGTGATGGTGGCACGCAGCGTGGCTTTTAGGGATGAGTGGTGACGCCTTTCGGTCTCACACCGGTGTAATTAGGATCGAGGCTTGTTAGGTGCAGGGGGGGCTTAGTCTGGTTCGGGATTGTCCCTGCACAGAGCTCCAGGGGTCTTCAGGTTTCCACTCTTCCTCCCTGCCCCCCATTAGCAGCACTGTGAGGAAATCCTTGAATATTGGCAGAAAAAGGGATTTGGGAACGGTGAAACACAGGGAAGGAAGTGGTGGCAGTCAGTAGGGGAGGGAACCAGTTTGGAGCTGGGATGTGCTGGCAGGTCAGGCTGGGGGGATACATGGGGACAGGTGCAGTGCTGGGGGGGGTGCATGACATTTGTATGGGGGCATGCGCCGTGCCATAGGGATGTGTGTGCTCTTACGGGGACAGGTGCCATTGCCATTGAGATGTGAATGCTCTTAAGGGAACAGGTGCCACACCGTGGGGCTGCGCGTGGTTTTGTGGGGACGTGTGTTATGCCATTGGGGTGTACAGACCTTATATGAGGACTTGAGCCGTGCCATTAGGGTGTGCATGCTCTTATAGGGACGTGTGCTGTGCCTTTGGGATGTGCGCTATTCTGTAGAGACATGTGCTGTGCCATTGGGGTCTATGTGCTCTTCTGTGTGCCGTTGTCATTGGGGTTTGCACTCCTAGCTGGGGACATGTGCCATGCCTTCGGGGTTTGCATGCTCTTTTGGGGACATGTGCCATGGCATTGGGTGTTTGCGCTCTTGTGGGAACATGTGCTGTGCCATCAGGGTGTGTGTGCTGTTATGGGGACAGGTGCCATGCTGTCGGGATGTGCATACTTGTTATGGGAACATGTGCTGTGCTGTCAGGATGTGCACAGTGCCATCCCCACACTTCTGTGGGAACGTGTGCCATGTCATTGGTGTGTGTGTGTGTGTGTGTTCTTATGGGGCCATGTGCCACGCCACCAGTGCTGGTAACCCCCCCCCAGGCAGGTTGTCCCCAAGCAGCCACCCTGCCTGCTGCCCATGGATGTGTCCTTGACGAGAAGGAAGCTCATTAATTACCAACCTCCATCCCAACTGCTGAGCAGGGGGACTTTGGAGAGGATGGGGTCCGTCTCCCAGTGGGCACGGGGTCACCATTAGGTACCAAGCGCCAGTGGCATCGCAGGACCGCTGGGGGCCAGACCCTAACCTGAACTCCTATAGGGACCGAGCTGTAGGGTGCATGGGGACACGGGTGACCCCTCAGGGACAATGGCACAGAGGTGCTGGCGCTGAGAGCACCGTTCCCAGGCGGCTCCGCGCCATGAGCCCCAAAGCCACCCAACAGGATCTGCCAGCGGGGCGGGCACCGCGGGGGCGAGCGGCGCGCCATGGGACGCTGGCATGGGGACAAGGGGCACGCGGTAAGGTGACAGTGACAGCGGGACAGGGGGACAACAGCGGGGTGCCATTGAGGCAGGATGCTGAGAATGGGCCAACTCGTTGCACCCGTGGGGTTGGGTGTCCCCGGGGCGGCGGTGGCACAGCGGGATGCTGCCACAACCCCATGCGCAGCGGTGACAGCGGCCCCGCGTGAGCCTTCCCCGGAGGAAATGTCGTTGGGGCCACGAGTGACTTGGCATTTCCTGAGTCTCTCGTATGTTTTAAGCAAACTAAAGGGGGGGGGGTGGAAGGAAAAAAAATAATAACATCACATACACACACACACCCCGGTCCTGTCGCCGCATGTCCTCGCGCGTTTCCGCTCCCCGTCCTCGCTCCGGCGGTGGCGGCACCAGGGGTCCATGGAGCCGTGCGGGTGTCCCATCATCACGTCCCCCCCACAGGTAATGGGGTGTGAGCCCCTCCCTGCCCCCTGGGCGCTGGGGAGGAGCGCTTCTCTCCAGTGAATGGGGCGGCGGTGGGTTTGTGAGCTGCTGGGGGGAGAGTGGGGCTTGCAGGATGCTGGGCTTTGTGGGGCTGGTGCCGGGGGGGTTGTAGACCTACAGGTGGTGTGGAGGGACAGTCCCTGCCAAAATTGGGGAATGTGGGAACAGGGTGAGCCTAGAGTGCTCTGTATAGGGTGCACAGACACCCAAGGGTGTTCTGTGGGATGCACAGGGATGGGGTTCACCCCAGGGTTCTCTATGGGGTGTGTGGATACCCAAGGGTGCTTTGCGGGGTGCACAGAGGCATGGATACTCCACGGTGCTTACGGGCTGCAGAGGGATGGGGTGATCCCAAGGTTCTTCATGAGATGCATGGGAACAAGGGTGACCCCAAAAAGCGTGGGTCACCCCAAGATTCTGTACAGGGCTGTAGTGCTCCATGGGGTGCACAGGGACGTGGGTCACCCCAAGGTGCTCTGTGGGGTGCACAAAAGCATGGGTGATTCAGATGGGTGCCCCATGGGGTCGTTCATCGTTCTAACGTGCTCTGTGGGGTACACATGAGTTTGGGTGATCCCATAGTGCTTTATGGGGTCCATGGACACCCAAAGGTGCTCCATTACTTCCACAGGAGCATGGCATGACCCCAGGGTGCTGCATGGGGTGCAGAGGTGCCTGGACACCTCAGGCTGCTCTGTGGAGTGCATGGAGATGTGGGTCACCCTAAGGTGCTGCATGGTGTGCACAGGGATGAGGTGACCCTACAGTGCTCTGTAGGGTACATGGAAACCCAAGGGTGTTTTGTGGGGTGCAGAGGGATGTGGGTGACTGCGGAGTGCTGCATGGGCACAGGGACATCCAGGAACCATGGCTGTACAGCGTTGGGTGAATCACCCCTTGCACAACCCCATGAGGAGTGGGGCCTGCACTCTACCTGCTGATTGGCTGCGCCATCCTACAGGGCCAGGTGTTCTTGCTGCTGATTGGCTGATAGCTAGGTGCTCTGTTTGCTGATTGGTTGGCAGCTCTACAGGTTTTGCTTCTCTGCGTGCTGATTGGTCAGTAGATCCACAGGTTGTGCTGTTCTGCGTGCTGATTGGCTGGTGGCTCCAGGGGTGTGTGGCCACTTGCTGTGCTGATTGGCCAACCGTTCTGGGGATGGGGGGGGGAAGGAAGGGAAGGTTTGGGGGTTGTAACTGTTTTGCATGCTGATTGGCCAGTCTTCATGGCACTGGATCCCTGCCAGGCATCCATTGGCCAACAGTTCCCAGGGGCTGTGCTGATTGGCTGGAGAATGGATCCCTAACGGGAGCTAATTGGCCACTACCCAGTTGCCCTTTGGGGGTGGGCACTACAAAGATCCCCCCCACTCCCCAGAAAAACCAACTCAAGCCTCCCTGTTGCAGAAGGACCTGGCATACCTGCAGCAGTGGCTGGAGGCCTTTGTCATGAACTTTGAGAAGGTCATAGCTGTGCCCTCGCTGGAGCCCCGCAGGTGAGGGTGACCCCCTTTCTCCCTCAAAAAAATAAATTAAAAACCACCACTTCCCTCTCCCTTTCCCCCCTCCCCCAACCAGTCAGAACTCAGCTTTGGGGTTTTGCTGCAGCTCATCCGCTGCGGTTTGCAGCCATCCGGCCCCAGGAGGTTTTTAGCACCGGGCTCGGGTGGGGGTAGGTCCCATCCTGTCCTTTCCCCCTTCTCTGTTAACTTATTTTCCTCCCCCCGCCCCCATCAGGCCAGAGGAAGCAGTGTCAGAGATCCCAGTGCTGCCACGAGAAGTGCTGCAGGTGCTGAGTCAGAGGCTGGCACAGTGTGTGGGGCAGGGTCCCCGCCTCGGGCAGGCACTGCTGCTCCTCAAGTTCTTCATCATCATCTGCAGGTGGGTGCAGGATCCCCCCCACCATGGGCAGATCCCAGCTGCATACCCTCCCCTCTCCCAAAGTGCATCACTCCCCCTGCAAAAGTACATATTCCCCTCTCAAAAGTCCACTCTGAAAGTTCATTGTGTCGTGTCCCCCCCAAAAGGTGCATTGTGTCCTCCCCACCCCCTTCCCCAAAAACACAGTCTCCCCCCAGCATGTGCTGTACCCCCCACCACGTGCATCATGTCACCCCTCAGTGACATTGTCTCCCTCAATACACATCACATTCTGACCCCCAAAAGTGCAGCATATCTTCTAAAATCTCATTGAGCATTGTGCCCCCCCCAGAAAAGAAGCACCAATCCCCCTCCCTGGAAAAAAAAAAAGCATCTTGTCCCCTTATGTTCCTTGTGCCCTCCCCAGGTGCATCATAGCCCCTCAAGTGCATTGCACCCCCCACTTCCTCCCCTCTTACTTCTTCCCATTAAGCAGCCACTCCCTGCCCGTTCCTGTTCCTCTCCCCG